GCACACCTCTGATCAGTGATTGATTCAGAGGTGGGCATGTATGTGATTAAGTACTGGCCAAGAGAACATAAAGGAAAGTGTCTGGGTCAATGTGGGAAACATTTTCTTTCAGGAACAAAAGTTTGTGGCTAAAGCTTAGGTTTTTGGTACTAACTGTATGGTTTGAAAATCCTGGCTTCCTGGCTTCTGTATCTGTGCTTAGCTACATGTCCGTATTATTGCATGTCTGCTGAGAAGACACTACACCTGCATCTTCATGAATTAAATGAGGTTTAGAATAGTATGACTCAAATAGCATTTTTTTAAGATTTATTTTTATTGGAAAGTCAGATATACAGAGAGGAGGAGAGACAGAGAGGAAGATCTGTTGATTCACTCCCCAAGTGGCTGTAATGGCCAGAGCTGAGTCAATCCAGAGCCAGGAGCCAGGAGCCTTTTCCAGGTCTCCCACGCAGGTGCAGGGTCCCAAGGCTTCGAGGTGTCTTCAACTGTTTTTCCCAGGCCAAGCAGCGAGCTGGGTGGGAAGTGGAGCTGCTGGAAGATGAACTGGTACCCATATGGGATCTTGGTGCATGCACGGCTAGACTTTAGCCACTTAACTACCATGCCGGACCCACGTTTTTTGAGGATCCTGATTAGTTAATATGCAGAAAGCATTTAGAATAGTGTCTTGCACACAAGTGGTGTCATTGTCATTATTCAGGCACATGAGAACAATGATGTGTTGTTTATTTTCCACGAGGGTCTTGTGTTAGGGCCAGAGATACACTTTAGCTTTTGAGTCACTCTCCAGTGTATGTCCCAGAGGTCCTCAACCCACGTGCCTGCCCTGTCTCAAAGACGTCCCCTTGCGAGCTTCCTCAGACAATTTCTGATCTACAATCCCGGCCATCTCAGTTACAGTTAGATGGCTTCATGAAAGGCTGATTTTTCAAGGTTTTCTTGAGGCCAAAGTTACAAGACCAGCATGGTGGTGTTCTAGTGAGTTAAGCCACTGCTTGAAACCATTTCATCAGAGTGGCCCGTACAAGTCCCACATGCTTCTCTTCTGATCCAATTCCATGTCGGGATGCCCGGGAAGGCAGTGAAGGATGGGCCTGGGCCTCTTGTGGAGACTGGGATGGACATGACGGGCTCTGGCTTCTACTTGGGGCCAAAGTTGTTGTGACCATTTGGTAGCAAACCAGTAGTTCAAAGGTCAGTCTCTCTCTCTGTTTGTGGTTTCCCTTTATGTCTCTCTTGCTCTGCCTTTCAGAAATACATATAAACAAAAAGAAAAAATGTAGACACTTGATAGTCATATGTGTAATAGGGTTCTCCAGATAAACAGAACCCAGTGCATGTATGCACTTACGTGTGAGAGACAGAACATATGAGGAGCTGGAGTCCTGGGGGGTTACATCACTGAATCCTCCATCTGCAAGCTGGAGACTCCGGAAAGTCACCAGTGTAATTATAGTTCATTTTAAAGCTTCAGAACTGAACGTGTAAATCCCAGGCCAGCGGCAGAAGACCTGCATGCTTGCTCAAGCAGTACAAGAGGGTATAAAGCCAGGGAGGTCCTTTTTCCATCAACCTTCTTATCCTGTGGAGAGCTCAAGAGACTGGATAATGCACACACACACACACACACACACACACACACACACACACACACACACGGGTGGGCCATCTCCTTCACTGAGTTCACCGATTCTGTACCAGTCTCATCTGGATACATTTGGAATAATAGTTACTCAGGGTACCCATGGTATGGTCAAGTTAAGACCATTATTATTCGTAAGGGACCTGTGATTCCGTACTTTTAAATTTGTGAATACTGTAGCAATATAACTACAATAAGTCAAAACTTTGGTAAGTTACTCCCTTTGATTGCAAATACTTCTCTGTGCATTCAATTGGAAAAATAAGTTGCAAAATGGCCATACTGACATAAACTATACCCTGCATTCTATCATTTTTATGGTAATATTTATTAAGAAAGGACTTTAAAAAATCAAAACAAAGGCAAAGATGATATATCACCATTTCAAAGGAATACATTATGGGAGTTATTACTTACATGAAATGTATTCTCTGAGCTATGAGCTTAAAAAAAAAGTCTCATTTACTCTCCCACAACCAACCTGGTGCCTGAGCTTGTATGAAATTGTGCTTCAACAAAAATCACAACTTCATAAACACAACATCTCCTGGGGGTTGTTCAAAGATGGAGAGACAATAGCTTTTTAGGTGTTAGACCATCACAGATCCACTCCCTGTGCCTTCTCGTCAGGACAGATGAAAGCTCCTGAGAGCGTTGGGCTAGGGAGGGCTGTGAGACTCCATCAGACTTCAGTGGGAACAAGTGCTGGGGTCAGGGATGAGTGTGGGGGCGGGTGGAAGGCATGGTGGAAGCCACCAAGCATTTCTACAATCCAGGATTCGCAGTTGCTATCTATGCCACTTCAAAGGCAATTCTCACCTGGTTGGGCTCAATTCCGTAATTGCTCTTAACTCCAGCATCAGTGAGCACTGGAGTTGCATTTGACATATGATCAGGCATTATGGAAAATTAAAAAAGAATCAGATTCAAGTCCTAAGAAATTCAAAGACAAATAGTAGAGAAAGGTGTGTATATTATTTATAGAATGACTTGGTAAGACTTCCACAAGGAAGGACTAGCCAAGGGGTGGGAGACCACGGGATGTGTTAAAGGTGGGAGGGCTCCTTTGAATGAGTGTGGAAGGTGCTCAGTAAGGCATGCTGGTGAGGGGGGTACTAGAAGCAGGCTCTGCAGGGGTGTAAGTCTGCTCACGTGGATACACAAGGAAGAGGATTTCATTCTGAGTGGTCAGAATGAGCAGAAGCACCCAGGCAGAGAGCTAAAGGCTCTGGGTGAATGGCTGACTAATGAGGGTGTGGGGATGCTACGGATTGCAGCGCTCTCTACAGAGTGAGCAGTGGCCTGGTGGACTTCATTAGGCTGCTGTGTTGATGTGACATTCACGTTGAAAAGGGTTGTTTGGACCAAGGAAAACTTGCTCACCACCTGACTTGTGACATGTGGCAAATATCTTCATGAAGACATTGCATTGGTATCTAGTGCCGCACATTTTTTTTTTAATTGTAAATCCTAAGACAACTGGGAAAAACTCCCTTTATTGACCTACAAACTCATCAACTCTGGTCAATCAGGAACATCCCTGATACTAGTTTACAATTTTATTTGTTGAAAATACTTGCAGAACTAGATTAAAATTGTCAACAGAGAAACGTCCTAAATACACTCCTTTCAGACACACACACACACATGCACACACATGTAAAGGTGAGGTAGGCTCTTCTTTAATGCATTGAAAAGACTTCAAAAAAAAATTAAAGCAATGCTGTTGTCTTTGTTAAAATAATTGGGCAGATAAACCAAAAATTAAAAAAAAATGGCTCTTCGGATATCTGCAGCAAGCTGTTCAAGATGCATCTATAATGCATTTGCGAATAAATTTAGAATCTATCTAGTTGTATGAGGTCCAGAATGCATAGAATATGAAATGCGAACTTGGATGTCGGTGAGCTTGACACGTCTCGGTCTGATTTACTGCTTGGCTGGCAAGTGTCTTCTACGCAAACCTAGAACAGAGAAAGTGACTCCGTGACACGGAAACCCTTACTCTGCAGTCAGACCCAAAGCAGTAAGCAAGTGTACTTGGCTTTCACACCCTATCCACACCGTCCTTTCCTCTCTCCCTATTTCCACTCCTGTGCCTTTCTCCGGAGGTTTTTACGGACAGCCCTAAATCTGTATTTACTCACTCTATTTAGTAAGCTTGATTATACATAGTCTAAATTCGGCGATGAGACGGGAATCCAGATTTTTGTTCACGGAAAGAACCTGTTCTTTTCCTGCTTAGTAAAAGGCTAAGCCGGAGTTTTTTGGCTAGTCAGTGGACTCATATTTTGCATCAGGCCCCTGCCCTTCCTCATTTTTTTCTGGAAAGGGCTGATTACACATTTGTTCATGCCAACTGCTAACTAACATTTAGGCCTCTGATGGAGATGCACCTTTTTCCAGAATGCCACATAAATGGAATCACAGAGTGTGTAGCCTTTTGTGTCTGACTTCTTTCACTGAGTAGAACATAATTGGGATCATCTGACTGCAGCAACCAGTGCTCAATTCCTTTTTATTTCTGGGTTTTATTGCATTCAATAGACTGTTGTGTTTAAGTTGACTGTCCACTGACGTCGTTTTCAGCTTCTGATGATTACAAATCAAGGTGCATTCCGACAGACTTCCTGGAGTGAATATAAATTTTCGTTTCACCTGGGTTCATATCTAGGAGCGAAATTGTGGTGAGATATTGGGTAGGCGAATGTATGAGATCAGCAGACTATTTTCCTGAGCGGTTTTACCATTTTGTACCCACACTGATAATCAATATGAGCCCTAGTCATTCCACATCTGTATCCACACTTAGTATCGTCAGACTTTCAAAATCTGGCCCCACGGATGTTGTGGTACGTCACTGTGTTTTTTTTTTTTTTAAATACATTAGTGACATATACATATAGTGACAGAGGAAGAGTGAGAAGAGAGTGAGAGAGCGAGAGAATCTTTCATTTTTCTGGTTCATTCTGGAGCCTGGAGTCCAAGTAGGTATTCCCCATGGATGGCACGCATCCCAACATCTTCCTCTGGTTTCCAGACGCACTGGTGGAGAGCTGGGCTGGAGGCGGAGATCACAGCTCTAAGCAATACTGTAATAAGACAGTGCTTGAGTCACAGACAGTAACTGAACGTGGTACACCACTCTGCAGGCTCCTAATTGTGGTTTTAATTTGTATTTCCTTAATGACTAATGGCATTGAACAGTTTCTCATGTGCTCACTTGCCCTTTTTTCTTCCTTGATTGTTTGTTGACATATTTTGCACTTATTTTAAGTCATTGAATTTTCTTATAATTGGGTCTGAGAGTTTTTTTTTTAATCACAAGCGCCTTTAATATTCTGTGCAGAAGTACCTTTTTCCAAATAATTCTACCTGGGGTGTCACTGGTATTCTTCGGCTCGGGAAACATCTTTCTTAGACGATCTGATCTTAGTTTTGACGAAGCACACTTGTCCACTTTATTTTTGTTGATCCTTTGGGGTCACAGAGAGGGAATTCAGTCACATGCCACAAAGGTTTTCCCCTAGAAGTTTCATGTTTTTAGGTTTTATAGTTCAGACTGTGTGAGTGATGCTAATGAATGTTCATGCTTTTAATGTTGTATGAGGACATTCCAACCATTCCTTCACTATATATTTTTTTTCAATAAAGACTTTTACTTTACCATTGAGTTTTCTATGCATCTCTGCTGAAAAGCAATTGATCAGACATGTCAGGATTTATTACTGACCTCCTTTCCATTCTACTGATCCATGTGTTTATTGTTTCATTTTGCATATTTTATTATAGCTTTGCAGAACTCTTGGAAAACAGGTGGAAAGGACTATATTTTTTTCTCAGAAAACTTCTGTCTGAAACTATTTACTTCCTTTTCTTCCTGGTGTCTTTTGGGGCAATATCAAATCATGAGACCAGGGACTTTTGTATCTATCTCATTCTCAATACCCACACACTGCAGAGCACGCAACAACTGCTTTAAAATTGGTTGAAAAGAAGCAGGACAGTAAGAGATGCTCCAATTGGGGGGAAACTGAAGGAATTTAGTACTGGGGAGAAACACAAATCAAATCAAATTGTTCTGTAAGAAGATGCTCAGAGTAACAGAGGCTCGGCTTTCGGTGCTTTGTTGGTGCTTTGTTGGAGCAATTCTTGAGTTTCTAAACAAGCTTTACCTCTTTGAGAGGTGGGGAGAGACGAGAAAGGGAGACAGAGAAATCTATCTTCTGTCAGCCAGGACTGAGTTAATCTGAAGACAGAAGACTGGAGTTCAATCCAGATTTTCCACGTGGGTGACAGGCACCCCGTATTTTTGAGCCATTATATTACCTTCTATCTCCAAAGATATGCATTAGTGGGAAGTTGGGATTGACATGGAACCAGGATTTCAAACCAGGGACCCAATATGTCAGGGGGACCCCTGAAACCCTAGTCCCAATATGGACTCCATAAATGCTCCTTTAGTTGTGTCCTTTGGTTACCATGCTTGGTTCTCCTGATATTTACCTATTAGTTCTGTGAAACCACATTCATTCATCAAACATTTATTCAGCACCCATTTCGTAACACTGTTACACAATATGGTAGGCAGGATTCTGTATTTAAAATGAGAGGTTTACGGACAGATAAACCCACAATTACAACAGAGAGTGGTAGCTTAGGGGCTGGAAAGTGTCACCTGAGGGGACATGCTTGTTTGTGCTCTCAAGTTTCATTGGGAAACTGAGTTCCAGCTTCCCTTTTTACAGGAAGCACCTGACACTGCACCATGGCTTGCTTTCTACGTTCTGCATCAACACCAGTTGTTTCTGGTGGTGGGCTACTGGTGGTGGCTCTCTTACGGGTTAACAATATTCTAGGTGTCTCAATAAGTGTCTGTCCACTCGCCCCGCCTCCCATCAAGTAACTTACTGAAGATCTGATGACATAACTCATGATGTGTTTACCTAATAACTATAGTGGAAGTCTGTCAGAGACAGAGTTGTTTCCATCTAAGTAATTGCCTCACTTATGTTGCATAGACCCTGTGATATACTGCTCTGGATCCAAGTCATGAGACACTCAACTCAAGGTTCTCCTAAAATCCACTGGATGACCCCAGAGTTGACCCTCTCTGACAGAGCAATTTGGTCTGATGAAGTGGTTTTCCAGTTTTAGGAGCGACTGCTGGCTCTTTTTTCCAAATTACTTTAAATAATTCATATTCAAAGTTTCTAGGGTAACTGTTTGGCACAGTGATTAAGTCCTTGCTTAGGATGTCCAGGTCTCAAAACAGAGATATTCTGCTGTTTTGTGTCTTGGTCACTCTATTTCCAATCCAGTTCCCTGATATCATGCCCCGCCTGGAAGCAAAGGATATTGGTTCAAGTTCTTGGGACCTGTCACCATGTGGTACTGTGGAACTGACTTTCAGATTTCTGATGTTGGCATGGCCCAGTCGTAGATAATGTAGGCATTGGGAGAATGAGCCAGAGGATGGAAGATTGCTAGCATTCTGTATGTTCTCGGTCTCTCTCAGTGCACCAGCATCTCATCCTGGGGTACCTAGCTCCAAGTTCAGCTGTTGGCTAGTGGACGCCCTGGAAGGCATAGGGACCGTTTAAGCCCTTGGGTTCCTATCATCCATGTAGGAGACCTGGCTTGAAAATAAGATGAAAAGAAAGACAAAAGAACGTCCTCTCCCTCAGTAACAGCAAAAATGTTTACTTCTTGTTCCACCTTGGATGTGTGTGCATTTAGTAAGAGTCTGTTGAGGTCACTGACGCCTGCCTACTGCGGGGGCCAGCCAAAAGACAGAAGTCAGTTTCTTTTTGCTCTTCTGTATTGGAAAGGTTGACCACAAAAAGCAAACAGAGCAAAACCTGCTCGTTCTGTTACTAACGTATCAGAAGTGTCTCTACGTAACACTGTTTTAGTTTTCTTAAACACACAGGTACATGCACACACACAGACACATGCTTTCAACTGAACTTGAATGCCGTGAGTGGGCCAAGGGCATCACCACTACACTACAAGTGAGCATCTGTCTTAACCTAAGAAGGGCAAGGCTTCTGTTGTTTCTTCCCCATCGTCACTGACGATGCCAAGGTCTGGGTACCGACACAGGGATGTATAAGAGATATCAAGATCCGTAATGCTTCGGGAAGTCTGATTGTTAAACTTCCTCCTCTGCTTAATTAAAAAATATGTATCATATTGGAGAGAGAGAGAGAGACCAACAGGCTATCTTTCTCATTGGGCAATGACCATTTTGAGTTATCACTTGACTTTGGCAAGCTCACTTTGACCTTTTGTTTGTCACTGTGTTTATGCCTGCATGCAAAGCTGGGGCTGGCTCTATCCAGGGCACTCTGGGTAGTGTTTTTGGTAATAGGTTCTCGTTAAATGAGGTAGAAGTGAAACTTGATCATTACTAGTTTCCATGGTTCCTGCATTCAGAAAGTGAGTTTTTTTTTTTAACTTTGAAAGTATGTCTATTTTTTTAAACTCAAATGACCCTATTTGGAATAACCTAAAACCCTCATCTACTTACCTTATTGAAAGTACCAGGGAACAGAAAGAAAATGTGTAGGGAAAGGAAACTAATGCTTACTGATTGTCTTTTATGTAAATGGCTAAGTACAGGGGGACGTGTTCTATATATGCTTGCAATATCCCAAGAAGCTAGGTGTCTCTGGTCCCATTTAAAAGGCCTAAGCAGTTGTAAATACTTGTCTCCAGCCAGCCAGTACACAGGTGAAGAATTGGACTTGTCCTCTTTTCAGTCACATGGCACAGTCACTGCAGGGAAGGATGAGAGCAAGGCCTCCTTCCCTCCCGCAGGATTCAAGATGAGCTCTGTGCTTCTAACAGTTGACAGCGGGTTTCAAAGTCTCACACCTAGTGTGACACCTTGCAAACATTGCAACTACCGTTGTAGCTCTGCCCATGAGTTCCCTCTCCTGCCATACGATCACAGTCTCCTCACCTTTTCCTGCCAAATGACTTCTGGTGCTGATCTGCAGAGTTTACTCTTCTCACCAAACTTTTCCAAAGAAAGACTTTGAATAGAAGACTTGGAAAATGTTATAGAACCAGGAAAAGACTATTTTGAGGAAGTAATTCCAGAGTGGTGGAGACCAGTCACTGTATTTACATGTGGCTCATTGTTCTTTTGTGACTAAGAGAAAGAAGCGGGGGTTTTTCCCAGAAACAGTTGTTGTGCCCCATCTCTGTGGAAAATTCTTTGTAAGAGACAAAAATTCTGTACCGTTTCTCAAGAGAGGCAAGTCTTAAATTATATCAGCTACACAGTTGACCAGACTCTAAAGTGTCTCTTCAATGAATCCAATGATTAATGTGTAATGAAATAACGGCTACATGTGGTCATTTCTTAAATGAATGAAAACCAAGGGAGATTATCTTTATATTATGCATTTTATAGACTAGAAAACAGATTTCCAGAGAGAAAGTGAGGCCACCTGGCCCATTACAGTTCTCCCCCGAATGACAAGGCACTTTGTGGGACTCTCCGCTGTTCTGTGCTTCCATGTCAGATGCTTGCACACAGAATCCCATCAAGGGACTCGAAAAACATGCAATTCTGCAGCAGAAGCCATGTCTCTTCCTCTGGGAGAAAGAGAACTACCAGTTTTTCCTAGAAAAGATGGAATGATTCTGAACTTTTGTACCTGATCATAAGGAAAAAGAGATTTCAAACACATGGTGTGAGAAGCATGTCTTACCTCAAGAATGGGTTCTTTAAATCAAGGACATTTTCAGACTTCAAGCCTGTCTGGTTCACCAGTGCCACAATCTGAATGTCATAGCTCTGCCTGTAGCACAGAGAAAAACACATCAGCTTGCAAGACCAGCTAGCTATGCGCATGGGCCAATGCAAGTTTTTGCAAATTCTTGAGCATCTTGAGAGCTCCCACTTTTGTAACTGATCCGTTTTGTAACTGGATGCTACAAACACTGCCGGATGCAACTGGAATCTTGTGTGTTTCTTCCAGGTGGTGTTCAAAAACGATTACTACTTGACCTCAAAATTGCAAAGGTCAAGTGACTTCTGGTTGAGCAAAGCTCTTTTTTCAGGGGGAGAGGCATGGAACTTCACAAATACCAATGACAAAAATTGGCATTCAGCAGCAGAAATGTTTTATGGGCCTTTGTGGAAGCACAAAATGATTGTAATTGTGGAGGGATTGGCCCAGTGGAATTCACAGACTGACATGACATGTGTAGCTTATGTGACTGAGTTTAAGAGGCTCCAGAGAAGTGAAGGTATGCTTCAGTAGGCATCTCAACTACCGAATCAAAGGAGGAGTCCCAGCGAAATAATTACATACAACTTGATAATATGATACTAGATTTTCTATCATCATCTAATACCTAAAATTCCATGAAATACTTAAATAGCAGAATGTTAAACTTGTAACTTACTAAAGGTCTATGTTACCATAACAATCTGGGGGAAATGATGGGAGGGGAAAATGGAGAGGAAGAAAAGGGAGGGAAAAGGGGGAAATTTATATACCTACATAAATGTATCGTGGAAAATAATAATTTTTAATAAAGAGGACCCAGGAACCTTAAAATCCAGAGCAGAATGGGATGCTATAGTTAAGGTCTTAAAATAACGTGCAACCAAGGAACTATCCTTTCAAAGTGGAGAAAAAATAAGGTATTTTCCAGTGACGCAAACACAGAGAATTTGCCCCACAAGATCAGCCTTGCAAGATATTCTGAAAGGCATCCTACCTAGAAGTATACATCATGAAACACAGGCTAGTGCCAAATTCACTAGCAGAACCAGAATCCAACCAACAAAGTGACAGCTCTTAGTTTTGTATCTATCAAAACTAATCCGGGATACAGATGAATTAAATGATCCAACAAAAAGTCTTAGGCTGCCCAAATGGATAAGGGACTGAGACCCCAGGATATGCAGCCTTCAAGAAACTCACTCCACAAAGATCTACACAACCTGAAGGTGAAGTACTGGAAAGAGATACCAGACAAATGGAAACAAAACAAACAGAATGATTAACAACCCTGATGTCATATAACAGAGAGATTAAGTCTAAAATGGTGGAAAGAGATAGAGGACATTACATTACGATAAAAATTTCCATTCTGTAAGAATGTAAGTACTTATGCACCCAAGACCACCCAGATATATAGAGCAAACCATTAGATCTAAAGGACAGATAAACTCCAACACAGTAATACTGGGTAACATCAACACTCCATTCTCAACAACAGACAGATCAGGCAATCAATAAATATACATCAGATATGAAACATATCATCGAGTAAATGGACCTAACCTATGTATATGACATTTCATCCAACAGCCATAAGGCATGGAACATTTTTTTCATTAGCACATGGGACATTTTCTAGGACAGACAACATATTGCAAATTAAGTCTCAGTAAATTTCGAAGGATTGAAATTATACTTTGTATATCTTAGGCCATGAAGGAATACAACCAGAAATCAACAAGAACAACAGAACACTCTTAATACAGTTGGAAATGAAACAGCATGCTACTGAATGATCAATGGGTCACTGAAGAAATTAAAAGAAATAAAAATCTTTCTTGAAATACATGAAAATGAAACACAACATACAAAAACCTGTGGGATATAGCAAAAGCAGTATTAAGAGGGAATTTTATAGCATCAATTGATTACATTAAAAAGAGAAATTTCTCAAACTGAAGATCTAATGGTGCATCATAAAGACTTAGAAAAAAGAGAACAAATTAAACCCCACATCAGTAGGACACAAGAAACAGATAGCAAAGCAGAAATAAATGAAACCAAAACAGAACAAAAAAGATAAACAGAATAGAATGCTGTTTTTTTCTGAGAAGAAAAGACAATTATTTTTAATTTTCTATTTAGCTAAATTTTATCCTCCCCAAATTTATGCTCATGTCCCAACTAGTGGGCCCTATGGACGGCATCATGTTTAGCAATAGGGTTCTCTCTCTGTGTTAGCAAGTTCAGATGAGGTTACAGTGGATTGGGGTGGACTCCCTTCCCAGTGAGTGGTACTGGGATAAGAGAAGCCACCATGACAGGGACGGAGGGAGACACTAGTGGTTCTGGGCTATTATGATTCTAACTATTGTACATACGTCATGTGAACATGGAGGCATGGGTACAGCTCCATGGCATGCAACAGCTGTTAGGTGCTACCATGAAGTGGGAAAAAATGCAAGAGCAGATCCTTCCTTTGACCTTGAAGGAAACTGATCTTGCAGACATGGTGATTTCAGATTCCTGCACTCTAGAGTTGTGCAATAATTAATATTCTGTTTTTTGAAGATATGCTTTATTTTTCTCTGAAAGGCAGTGTTAGAGAGAGAGCGAGCGAGACAGAGAGAGTAGAGAAAGAGAGGGAAAGAGAAAGAGGAAAAAAAAGAGATCTTTCACGTGCTGGTTCAATTTCCAATGATAGCAATGGATGGGGTTGCACCAGGTTGAAGCCAGAAGCCAGGCCTTCATTCAGGCCTCCTATTTTTGATCCCCGTGAGTGCAGGGCTCAAACATTTCAACCATTTTCCTTTGCTTTCTCAAGTGCATCAGAAAGGAGGCTAGCTCACACGTGCAGTGGCTGGGATTCAAACCAGAACCCCTATGGGGATGTCAGCGTCACAGACTGCAGGAACACAACACTCCATTTCTGTTCTTCTGAAACTCTAAGTTTGTGGTCATTGAGGACAGCCCCAGGAGACTCAAATGCCGAATGAACATTTATGAATTCACCGCATATGATCTGGAACCTTCTTACTAATGAAAAATGAAGATATTAGCTAAGTATACCTGGTCCCTCGTGTTTGGCAAAGACGGGATAGTACATTGAGACTCCAACTGTAACTTAAATAATTTGGTCCAGGGCCAGGGAGCAAATTCTAACCACGTGAGTATGCATGGCTCCATATAGGAGGAACACTGTAGAACCAAGAAAAAGCATTCAAAATCACACCAGCTCTTTCTATCACATCACAGCGCCTAACTGTGTGCAGTCATTTCTTATTTTCCTCCCTGATGTAGCTGTTCAAGCAGATACACTATTGGGAGGCTTCATTTTATGTAAAGTTCAAGGTCAAGACCATTAGGAGAAACACCTGGAGCTTCCAAAGCTTTACATCTTTATTCAGCAATTCTTTCATCTTGATAAACCTCAGAGCTCAATAAACTCTCTCTAAATCAACCTCCCCCCCCACACACACACATCCTCAGCAGATCTGGGTATAGCAAGCCTTCACATGATCCCAAATTTCAAAACAACGTTTCAAAATATTTTGGCATCATGGAAGTGGCTGAGTTAGATCCAACAATCAGCCTATACTTATTTGCCTCCACGTATTCTTTTTCTAGTTTGTATGTCTTGTAAAGTACATAATGCATGAATTTCCATGTGAGTGTAAATACACATATATACACACTCAGATCTCTACATGTAAATTTGCATGTGAAGAGCAGAAACTAGCGCTCCTGGGCTATCACTATTATTACTGTAGTACCTGCGTCTAACTAAAAGACAAATACTGGCATACATGGGAGTTATGAGCAAAAGCTTTGGAAGTAGTACTTCCTGTGACCTTTGGGGATACAAATTTCATCAAGTCCCTAGAAAACATGACAGATTCTATTTCACGGTCAGGGCAACAGAACGAATGACAGCATCAGAATGACGGGAGGCTGTCAACAGCAAAATGCTAAGCGTACGGCGATAAATGATCCCAGAAAAGGGCAGCCATTGTCCCACTAGTGCGTTTGCAGTGGGCATTCCCCCTGGAGTTTGAAGTTTAACAGTGAGGGAGAAGGGCTGCACAGACTAGTCCAGGCAGTACAAAGGGGCCACACGTAATGGGAACAAAAAATAGCACAAAAGTACCAACGCCCAGACAGTTGTGTAGAAAATACCAAGCAAAACAAGGATTTTAACATAAGATTTATTGTGGGCCTACAAGGTGTTCATCAATAGTCCTGGCTTTCTCTTTTTGAATATTTTGCGAAAGCTTGGTTAGGTAATGACCGCACAGGCTGTTTAGCTTGCCCAAGGTCACTTACATAACCGCCAGTTCTTTATAAAGCAGAGACCGAACAGAAATGGGAGACCGTGAACTCAGAATCTGGTCTCTTCACTCCACAGGGTACCATTCTTAAGAAAATGCATTTTTTCCCTTTCTTTATCTTTTCCCTCCTGCAAAGTACTGTATATGTCTGTATATCTTAGCTGTTTTATTCCAGTCAGATTAATTCCTAATGAGGGAGGGATCATCAATTTATAGCTTGCGCTTTTATTTAGTCATTACACATTAGCTGAGTCTCTGACATGTGGAAGGATACTTCTAGAAGTTCATGGAAAAAATGAAATGAAAAGGGGCCCAGGGCGGTAGCCTAGTGGCTAGAGTCCTCACCTTGCACATGCCGGGATCCCATATGGACACCAGTTCGTGTCCCTGCAACCCTACTCGCCTTTGTGGCTACTTGGGTAGTGAATCAGTGGATGGGAGATCCTTCTCTGTCTCTCCTCCTATCTGGATATCTGACTCTCCAATGAGAGTAAATACATAAATTCTTTTTAAAAACTGAAATCAAAAGACAAGTTTGTGCTGGTGTAAAAATGTTTTGAAACCCATGTATATTATTTTCATTTTACACATTTTCCATAAATTTTTGAAGATCCTTCATTCGCATGAATTTCACCTTTTTTTTTTGCACCAATTTGAAGTTCTATTTTAATGCCACGTTGAATAGACACATTGCATTGAACAAGGAGGGACACACCATAGAACCCTGCTTCTCTTCCCGTGAGGCTTGTCGTCATTCAAATCATCAGATACAACAATGGGCTGTAAGAAAAGTTTTACATGCTGTAAAATCCACATGTGTTTGAGAAGCTCATTTCCCCACTGGTGGAGTGGAGAAGGGTAGAAAAAATGACCAAGGATGAAATCTATAAGAAGTCAGAAAAAGGTCATGAGAAGGCAAGGGATTTAGATTCAATCACTCCAATATATCTTAATATCATCCAACAATAAAAACATTGGAAGACAGAATACTATCCTGCAAACAGCAGACAAGGCAAAGACCCAGTCAGATATGGCTCTTGCTCCTTCACATTTTTTTTTAACTTCAGATTTAGTCATTAAACAGATGGTTTATGATGACATAGAATGCAGCAGTAACTCCCAGGATGAACATGGCGCAAATCAGCGTTCTCCACTTCTGGAAATCACCCCCAACCCAGGGTGGACCTCATGGCCTCTAAAGTCAAGGAAGACATGTACTCTGCCATTTCAACACAGGAGGAAGGGCTGTCAAGAGTGGATATTGGTTACAAGCCATGTGGCAGGAAGGCATGACAGAAGTACAGAAGAGGGGCTAGAGAGCTCCAAGTCGGCAGGTCTCAAAGACTGCTGCCCAAAGCTGGAGGTGAGGGATAATTCCCCGGAATGCAAACGATGGTATGTGTGTGTGTGCATACATATACACATATATGCATATATGTATACATACTATTACATAGTAATTCTATCTCAATCCATCTATATGTGCAATCAATGTAAAATATAGAATATATATTCTACATTATACAGTTATGTAAAATATGCATTATTATATATGCATGTGTGTTAACATATACTACCTCTATATTAATATATGTACACACACACATATATATATTAACATACTGGGAAAGGCTTGAGGTAAGTGGGACTGCAGACATAAATGTTCCTGAAACTGGAGTGCGCGGAGCAGCCTCAATCACACAAGAGAAACCATTCCTGCAGGAGGCAGTATGACTCCAAGGCAGCAGAGAGCTTGCGTGGAAAACACCTCCATAGTATGAAGCTTGACACATGTTGCTATGCCCTAGGAATATCAACTGGTTCAATAGTTATTTTAAAAAGTCCTAACATTGGGGGATGGGCAACCAACAGAAATACGTTATTGGGAAAAAGAGTAGAAACAGACTAACAAAATGTATAAGCTGATGAAAAACTGTATATCATATATACAATGCATGAGCTGATACTGCGTCGGGAATTTCAAAATCATGACAAGGCATTCATTTCTGCAGATGTAACACCCTCACGAAGGGAGACGTGGAGGCTGGGCTCCAACAGCTCAAGGGAGAGAACAAGACAGACCTCAAGGTGCTGCTCTGAGCGTATCTCTGAGAAGCACTGTGCAATGACAAAACTAAGATGCGGAGAACAGACACCGTGTGCTGGTATGTAGGTATAAAAGTAAAGAAATTAAATACAATCCTAGCACTACAATATCTTCCAGCTCCACGTCCTTAATGAAACTCCGAGAGGATACGCAACAAGCAACAACAGGAAGACCGGTGTAACGGAGGAGACAGCATGAGGACGACTTTTTGTTATGTATTTGCAGTTCTCAAAAAAAAATTTTTTTTTTTATGAACTTGAGAAGAGTGAGGGAAACAAAGAGAGATGGACCAACACAGAAAGTTTGCAAGCGTTGGTTCCCCACCCTGAATATGCACTATAGCCAGAATTGGGGCCGATGCTGGGAGCCAGCCACTTTAGGTCTCCAGGTTGAGGAGGAATCTAACCACTTGTATCATCTCTTGTGACCCTCATCGTTCCTATTAAAAGGGAGCTAGAACCGCTATCCCACTCCGGAACCCTAATGGGAGATCAGGTGCTTGCTTTATCGGGTCAAACGATTTCCTTCCTAGATAAATATTTTCAAGGGAGACAGTAATAGCTAGGTTATTTCAGAGGGGGGAAGAATAGATAAACAATTAAAAAAATCATTCTTATCAGAGGGAGAAGTTTGGGATATAGCATAGAGACTGGAAGGGTGCTCAGTAGAGCTCTTCAACTATTGGGATGACTGATATTTAGTGTTTAAGAATAGATCTTTTTGGGCCCCGGCGGCGTGGCCTAGCAGCTAAAGTCCTCGCCTTGAACACGCTGGGATCCCATATGGGCGCCGGTTCTAATCCCGGCAGCTCCACTTCCCATCCAGCTCCCTGCTTGTGGCCTGGGAGGGCAGTTGAGGATGGCCCAAAGCCTTGGGACCCTACACCCGTGTGGGACACCCGGAAGAAGTTCCTGGATCCTGGCCTCGGATCGGCATAGCATCGACCGTTGCGCTCACTTGGGGAGTGAATCATCAGATGGAGGATCTTCCTCTCTGTCTCTCCTCCTCTTGTATATCTAACTTTCCAATAAATGAATAAATCTTTTAAAAAATAGATCTTTCTAACCTAAATTTGGAAGCATAGTGCGTATCAATGGGCATCATTCACAGATAAAAGATCAGCAGTAAGAACTACATGTTGCTATGTAAAGAGGTCAAATATTTTAATAAGTAGAGACAGGGGCATTAACAGCCTAGGCTAACATGAAAAGTTATCTAGCCTTATCCGCCACGGAAGAACTGCAAGCCGAAACAAGATGCTACTTTTTGTGTTCATCAGATTCTCAAAAACAAACAAGCCCTTTAGAGGGATAATACTCAGTTTACGGAAAGAACTGGAAAAGCAAGCAAGCTTGTTCTTTGCTGGTATGAAAGGAACTTGGCACAAGCACTGAAGGAGCCACTGGTAGCACCTGGCGGAGCGTAATGTGGACAGAGCCTTCGCATAGCATCTCTATTTCCAGACATTTCACGTGGAAACACTTCTCTCATGGTGCCCACTCTGGGCTCGAGCACTTGGCTTTGAAATTCTTGCAGTGACAACAACAATCAAAAGTTGAAAGCAACTGAAGTATCAGTTAATTGTGGATTTTTAAAAACATGCTACAGTATAGCCACAACGATTGTATGTCCATCAAGAAGAAGAACCACAGGAGAGCTTTCTCTGTAGATCCAGTTCTGAGGATCACGTTAAAGATTATCTTGCACACTGCTATTGTTAACCTCTTTGTGGAAGGGATAGCAGCCTTCTCCATAATACGGCTTGTTGGTACATGAGCAGAAAATCACCTCAAAGTACCCAAACCAAACTCATTGTAGTGGGGTGGGTAAAAAAAAAAAGTGCAAAAATAGAAGGCCTTGGCGCACCTGGTCTGCTTTGAACTTGTATGTGAACACATTAGGTTTCTGCAGGTGGTGTACTGCAGTGTTTAAGCACTGGGCTAAGGAGAGCAAGAGGGAGGAAAGCAGCAATGAGATGCTTGGACTCTTCTTACGCTGAGCCCCCTCTCCTTCCAACTCACACTGCACAGCGCCAAGAAGGAGGTGGGGGGGGAATCTCAAAGAAGCCCAGGTAATTGCTGCAGGAACCCTGTGAAGTCAATTACCATGAGGAAGCAACCAGTCCTGCCCGCCACACCACAAAGTGCTTCTCTCCGGCCGAAATTCCTCTTACCTGACACAGCTGGTACAAGGTGGAACAGTGTCCTGTAGGCATCACGCCTGTGCAGACCCCTGAACCCCCAACCCCACGCCACCCAGCCCCTTTGTAAAGTCCTCTGTGCAGTGATACGTACATTGGAGTTGTCAGAATCTGCCGGCTTCCTCCCCTCTTCTTTCCCTCCAATGCCCCATCAAGAGGTGAGTGTGCACCTGCTTACCTTCTGTTGGCGACGAGCAGCACTCTCCCCGAGAGAGTCTCCCCTTCCTTGGCAAAGAGAGGAGTCTGAAGAAGGCAGCGCACCTGATGCCAGTGTGTCAAGGGCTCCGTTGGAGCTGTGGACAGCCAAACCGTCATTCTGTGGGAGCAAGGAGACAGATTACAGGTAAGTGTGAGTGTGTGCGACTGGGGACTGAGGTTGATACGCGGTTTTCATTCTTTTTGACTCAAGATGAGGAGAACTCAACTGCTGGACAATGACCACATATCAGGCAATAGAGTAAGTTTATCTGTTATCCCATCAAATCGGCATAATAACCCTATGAAGTTGAAGCACAGAAGTTAAAGAGATTTATTTACACAGCATCACACAGACCCTGGAGAATGAGGCTTCAAAGCTGTGGATTTAGCCATTCTTTTAGCCTAATTCTTAGATGGGAAAAAAATTTGGAAAAGTATAAATACTGGGATTTGCAAGAAGTTCATGGTGAATATGTATTATGAAGAATGATGTATAGGTCCCCAAATATTTTACAGCAAAATAAACTGTTTGAAGCTTACTTTCCTATGTACTTCTTGAAGTACTCTCATATTTCTGAATCAAAACTTGTCAGAGGCCCAGTTAGGATCTGTTTTATGTCAGATGAAGTGTCTGGAATTAACTGATTAATTGTTAACTGATACATGCCAGGGGTCCTCTGGGGATTTCAGAAGTCATATATACTAATGTAAAGACAGAAACTTAATTTTAAATTAAAAAAGAAAGCTTTATGGAATCATCTATGTCTTAAGTATAACAGCCAGTGGAAGAGAGGAGGATATTTTATCTAATGTCCACAGGTATTTGATACCCGCTTTTTAAGTACATTTTATTTTCCCCCTGCCAGTGACTCTAACTATGGACATCAATTAAAATACAAACAAGTGCTTGTTACAGCTTCTGGAATTGTTTAACTTGAACAGACCAAAGGAAAGAAAGAATAGAGAAAGAGAAAGAGAAAGAGAGAGAAAGAGAAAGAGAAGGAGAAAGAGAAAGAGAGAGAGAGAGAGAGGAAGGAAGGAAGGAAGGAAGGAAGGAAGGAAGGAAGGAAGGAAGGAAGGAAGGAAAGAAGGAAGGAAGGAGTGGGTCCAGCATGGTGGCCTAGTACCTAAGGTCCTCGCCTTGAATGTTCTGGGATCCAATATGGATGCTGGTTCTAGTCCTGGCAGCTCCACTTTCCATCCAGCTCCCTGCCTGTGGTCTGGGAAAGCAGTGGAGGACAACCCAAAGCCTTGGGACCCTGCACCCACATGGGAGACCTGGAAGAGGCTCCTGGCCTCCTGGTTCCAATTTGGCTCAGGTCCAGCCTCCCTAAGTAGCCACTTAGGGAGAAAATGGAGAGGCAAGGAGGCAGGGGATAAGGGACCATCATTATATTCTTGGAACTGTATCTATGTTCTCTATCGAACTTGTTAAAAATAATTAACAACTTAAACCATAGGAAAACACATATGTGGAGTAATTTCTGGTCTCTCCCATTGATCTTTAGGCTGGTTTTCACACCAGGACATCTTGTTTTAATCACTATAGCTTTTTAGTATTAAGTACAGTATTGTGATGCCTCCTGACTTTTTTGCCTTCAAATTCCTGTGGCAGTTCTGGGTTTTCTGTCATTCCACACGAGTTTCAAAATTCTCTTTTTTTTTTTTCCAAATTCTTTAAAGAATATCATTGGTGTTATCATTGGGATATAGATATTTGAACAATATTGGTTCTTCCAATCCACGAGCATGGAGTATCTTCATGTTTGTCGTTTCCTTGATCATTTTTTGTAATCAGAGTTTGATAATTGTCAATGCAGCAATCTTTCAAGTCTTGGTTGCGTTTGTTCCTAAACATTTTTAATGGAACTATTGTGAATGGGATTTCATTTTGATTTCTCTTTCAGTAACTTCACTTACTTAACATATAAACGCCACTTTTGGGGGGATATGTTTATTTTGTAACCTGCAACTTTTACTGTGTTGGTTTACGAATTCTAGCAGCTTTTTGGTGCGGTGTTTGGGTTTTCCCATGCTAACATCATGTCATCTGGGAGCGTGAACAATTTGACGACTTCTTTTTTGCGTTTGATGCCTTTTTCCCTTCCTGCTAAAAAAAATTTTGCTAATATTTTTAGTACTATGTTGAGTGAGAGTGGTGAAAGCGGATATTGTTGGGGAAGAAGAAACGACTCAACTGGTTCATTCACTAGCTTTAAGCACCAGCACCCTATAGAGGTGTGCAAATCTGCTTTTCAACTAAAAACAAATACATTTTTAAAAAGAATTTAAATTACTTCTCCCTCCACAGTATGGTAGAATTAAGCATTGGAGCTATATGGTCCAATTTCGGTGAACTGAATGCATCCAGAAATATATACACTTCTTCTAGGTTTTCTAGTCTGTTGGCACGGAGTTTTTTGAAATAATTTCTAATGATTCTTTGTATTCTGTGTATCACCTGTTTCTTCTCCTCCCACTTCTCTGATTTTCTTAATTTGAGTTATCCCTTTTTCTCCTCAGTAGTTGGACCAAGGGTTTATCAATATTGTTTACTTTTTAAAGTTTTCACTTTATTGCTCTTTCACATATATTTTTTAAAATGGTCTATGATGTTGTTTATTTTTCTCTTATTTTATTACTTCCTTCCTGCTAGTAATCAGAGGTTTAGTTTGTTCTTTACTGTTGAAGTGTGTTTCTTTCAGGCAGCATATTCTTGTATTTTGTTTTAATCCATCTTGCCACTCCATATCTTTTAACTGGAGAATTTAGTCTATTTATATTCAAGCTTATTATTGATAAGTAACAACCTGTCATCTTTCTGGTCATATTCCTATTGTTTGACTTTGTCATTTCACCAGGAGGTTTTCTGCCTTCACATTCTTTCACGATGTTGATAATTTTTCTCTTTTTCAGGGCTAGGGGTCATGTGAGCAGTGCAGAGACTACAAGGTACACCCAGCACTGAAAGCTAACATGCAGACAGCTCTTCTCTTTTCCCTGCAACAGTTTTTAAAGATTTATTTTATTTGAAAGTCAGAGATCCAAAGCCAAGAACCCAGGAGCCTCTTCCGGGTCTCCCACACAAGTACAGGGTCCCAAGGTTTTGGGTTGTTCTTGACTGCTTTCCTAGGCCACAAGCAAGGCTGCTGGGATTAGAACCGGTGCCCATATGGGAACCTGGTGCATGCAAACAAGGACTTTAGCTACAGTTCTACCGCGCCGAGCCCTTCCCTGCAACTTTTAAGCTCATGCAATATGGTGAAAAAGCATGCAAGTCATCTTCAGAGTATACACCTGCCTTATTGTTGAAGTACTCTAAGCTGTGACACAATGAATAACCATCTTAAATGTCATCCCTTGAATAGGACTATCAGCTCTTATTTCTTCAAAAACCTTAGAGAAATAATTTGTACTTGTTGAAACCGAATTCTTCAACACTTAAAACTGACTACACATAGCAGCGTGGGTTGTCAAGGCAAAAGAAGGCAACGGTACGTACCGGGATCCAATAAAGGCTACATCGAACCAGAAGGCTAGGCCGTGGATGAGGCCACACTGCAGAATTTGAAATTTAAAGGGGATTTCTATTCTGCAAGAAAAAAAAAAAAAAGAAAGGAAAGAAGAGACACCCAGAGTTAGTCTTCTGTTGCTTCTGCGTGATCTATTCTACCTTCCTATCCTTGCAAGGACCGCACTGCTTGTGTTATGATGACCCAGATGTCACAGGGAGAGTGTGGCAGCCGGAACTGCATCTGACTACTGAGCAGGAGGCTGACTGGGGACACAGGGGAGAATCATTCTTCAAGATGCCAAAACAGGCTGTGGCAGTTCCCTAAGCAGCTGTTCTGAAGGGAAAGGCTCCTTAGCACTTTTTTTTTAAAATAGAGTGAATTACAAGTGGGAACATTGAGTTCAGAAGGTCATGGCCATAGTTCGTTTACTTTTCAGAGAGGCAATTTAACTTCCCAGCAGGCTAGAGCAAGAATTCATGCCGAAACTGCCATGGTGCACGACAGATGCAGGATGAGTGAGACTGGAAAGCATACTGGGGAAGATGCAACACAATCTAGATGCTGGAAAGTCATTTAAATTGTGTGAAACTCACCCTCCCCTCGTGCTGAAAAGTGACAAAAATCTCTCTCCTACTTCCCTTACTAAATTCTCAGGTAGGTCAAAAGAGAAAAAAAAAAAAAGCATATCACAATGCTTTGTCAACTTTAAAGCATAAGACAACTACAAGCTAACATCATTTTGGCCCACTACAGGAGAGGTACGTCACTCTGAAGTCTTATTATTGAGTCCTGAAGAGATTGGCAAAGGTGCATGGTACCCGTATTCATAGCGAGCCAAAAGGGCTTAACAACAGGCTTAGCATCTTCGGCCTGGCACCAACCAGAATATGTCATATGAGTTATCGTATGCCTGTCATGCATGACAATCACATGAAACTTATTGGTCTTACACTATTTGTCTTTTTCTATCCTTTGAAGTAGATGATGAGCTCTCAAAGAACAGAAACTTACATTGCTTTTTGCTCTGGAATGACCATCAACACAGCACCCGGCATGGACTGGGCTCTCGATAAACATTTGTTGAATCAACCTGCAAGTGTGCGTGTATGGCATCTCTAGGAATCCAATCTAGACACAACTTTTTAAAAAATTCTCCAGCAGCAAATAAATGCAGTGGCAATCATTTTTATCCAGAACTTTGGCAGTCGCTACAGCTGTTCACAGATGTCAGTTTTTTTTTTCACAGCTGGGGGGTAGGATAGCATTTCTCTGCCCTCTTGAGTTCTGAAATTGCCAGGTGATTTGCTCTACCAATTTATTGTGAACAAGAGGGACTTGTGCCAGCCCCAGGCAGAAACTTTAATTGCTAAGCCATTCTTCACCATCATCTATTTTTCTCCCTCAGCAGTCAGCATTTTTCCAGGCAAAGCTACTGCAGTGGCCAAATAGCTGGTCTGCAGGATGCATGGTGGAGCTAAAGCTGGTGCACAGTGGATAAATGTCACGGCAGAGCAAGTCAGCTGTGATACCATAAACCACAGAGCTTTATTTTTGTTACTGTAGACTGCTCTAACTATGTTAACTGTACCTAGGCTTTGTACATCACAACCCCAAGATGGATTTTTTTTTTGCTTTTCCAATGGCTACAATTTACAGTCTGGCTGGATGCTGCATGCATTGCCTAGGAAAAAAAATTACAAACATTTATCTTCTCAGGGAGAAAAGAGGCCACCCCAAATGCTAGTAAGAGGCCACCACAAAGGGGACTCCTATCACCCTCTAAGAAGGCAGGACCAAGTCAAGGCACAAGCTCTTGAAGAGTCTCTTCAAGTGAAAGGGCACAGGACAAGAACCAGTATTCACAAAGATCCCTCTTTGAAAATGAGTGCGCATGCACTGTGCCCCAAGCACAGTACTGCATGAAGCACTCAACAAGCCGCAGACCTTACCGCTGGCATTAATACATGCACTGGTCCGGTACATTCACACCCATGCTCTCATAGGGGTGGCATTCAGTGATCCAAAGTCTTCTAGAAGGTTCAAATCCTAGGTCTAACACCCTTAGTCTGACCTTGTGTACGTGTCATTCCACTCTGCCATACTTGCTCATCTAGAGATGACAATAGCACCATTTCACAGAACTGCTGTGACTATTAAATGAGTTATCGTACGCAGGTACTCAAAAACGGGGTAGAAAAAAAAATTAAACAAGATAAGCTTGCTTAGGTATCACTTAAAAAGCTATTCATACTTTTTCGTAATGTACGCTTTCTATTACACTCTGAAGATCGCTCTTAATAAAGGGCTCAGAACAGTGTCTGGTTAAATTAACATAAGCTTGGCTGTTACCATTATTACTAAGCTCTGTTTAAAAAATCTTAAAGGAGACATCATTGCTTGTATTTCATAATGTGTAAAATTGACACGGATATATCCCACTCAAGCACATGTCCTTTATCGAAAATCTTTCTTCTATGCAAGCAGCAAAAGTTTGAAGTTTGAGAACCAGTGACATAGGATTGAGATTTTCAAAATCAAGAGCAACACTAATGTCTACTAACCGATGTAGATCTTCCTCTTTTGCATTAAGGAAGTTGACTGTATATTTGACTGTCGAAGCCATCAAAATCTTAACATCAAACGTATCCTTGGGGAAAAAAAATAAAGAGTCGTTATCTTTGTGTTAGGATAGAGTGAACTGAAGCCAATGTGTCTTTCTTGCTATTGTAACTCAACAAGCGGCTCCTGTTTGGAAGGCGTGACCTTAGAGTAATATTAATAAAACAATTAACAGGTGTTGAGCGCTCAGCATATAATAAGCATTAGTGCTTAGTTCTCTACTGAGTATTAGCTGCTTCAGTAAGTGCAATCATTCTTCAAATGCCTCTAACAACACGTTGGGGGTGAAGATTAACATCTTGTCTACGTTTTTTTTTTTGGAAGAGGTTCTCTCTGAACTTAGTAAACCCTCAGCAACAGAGGTGGCCAGTGAGCTCAGCTTGGCTGATCACCGCATTATTCCCCCCTTGGCAAACAATCGTTGATTGGCAGGGTGATGTGCTATCCAAAGTTGCTACACTGCTTACAGAATTGTTATCTGACATCTTAAGGAACTGCAGTCTTCATGTGGGAATCAAAATTGGGGGAGTCATAGAGTGGAGCCTGCTACCATGAGGGGAGATGCCACCTGAGAATTGAGTTAAATCAGAAGTGATATATACAATGATGATAGGGTTATACCCTGACAACGTTGTCTCAGCTCCTACGATGGGTCTCTGAAGGTTCATTTCTAGGTCTGTAATATTTTGAGGGCAAGTCATTTTAGTCTAAGCCAGTTCAGGTTGAGTTACCTTTCACTCACCAACTGGAAGGCGTTCAGATAGCATCAGCTTAAAGGTTAGGCAGATAGATGGGGCCATAATTGAAATCTAAATTTGGGTAACAGTCAATGTTATGTTCTATGCTATTATTCAACACTTTCTCTTCTGTTAACGCCTTGAGCCACAACCAACATGAGAATATGAGGGTTTAAGGTTGGAAGTCAGAGTGATAGGGTATTATTGAAATTTAATCAGAAAATCTTGCTTTCAACAGTGCACACTTTCTGAAAAATTTTTTTTAATTGATTGGGAGGGCATAGCTTGAAGACATTAAAATCCGTTTTTCTAAGAAATTCTCATGTTCTGTGGTGGCAAGGCATGGAGCCTGGCAACATGGTGCATGCCAGGGGCACAGGAAGAAGAGCTGTAAGAAATGGCACTTACTATTATAGGTTGTCTGAAGTATTCGTCCACTGCTGCACCCTGGAGACTGGACAGGTTGATCCCGTAGAAGCATTTTTGGTACCTATAATGGGTAGGGCAAAGAATCATTCTATAGTTTGTCCCTTGATTGAGTCTCTGAGCCTCTACTGCTGTGAAAAGCTTCAGGGCTGTTTCCTGGGTCCTACAGCAAACAGTGGGACATGGGAAGGGTATTTGGGTTACAGTGAGTGGGAGGCTGTACATCTGGCTTTTATGTCTGAGATGGAAAGACTTCGGCATTTATTAGGTATCTGAAGGAACTACCAAGATACTTCAAAAATGTTCATGGAAAATGAAAATAGGTAAGGGCTTCTATTTTTTTGGTACCAAAACACACACGTTTCAATTCCACTTTCTCACAACATGTTTGTTTTTCCACAAAATAAACATCTTCCGGTTCCACTTTCTCACAAAAAGGCATGGAAGACATTCTTGTACGTCTTGTCTAGCCTGTGAATCTGGTGGAGATTGAGGCCATCAGTCCCACCCCCAGTACCCACCAACTTACAGGAGAGATAGCATACCAAAGCAAGAAAAACCGAGTGCTCATGAGATCATCTTTGGTGCACAGTCTGATGAGATGATCAGGCACAATCAAGCTCTAGGTCAGGTATGAATGCCTATACTGTCCTCACAGGCATGGTGAAGGAAGACAAGCCTGACCTTAAGTCAGCAGCCAGTGAAACTCAACAGCGAGTGAACCTCAGCCTGCTGAACTATTGGGAAAACTTTGTCTCCAAGGCACGGACTGTTGGCCACCTGTGTGCCTTTGATTGCTCTGCTATTTTTCTAGAACATACCTGGCCCCCTTTTGCCCTGTTATTTCCTATCTAAACACTCAGCTCAAATATTTCCCTTTGAGATCCTCAAGCTTTGTGTTCCAATTTAACATTTAAATTTAACTCCCTTAAAAGCAGGTTTTAAAAAAAAAGCAATGAATGTGGAGTCCAGAAGAGTATCAGGGCTAAAATTTTCTACCAATATTTGTTTAATGATTGAATGTACCCATGAACAAACTGGAGAACTTTGCATCCAACGTGGTTTTATCTTCGTAAGAAAAATGGGCAAATGGAAGATAATTTGCCCAAGTTTCTTCAGCTTTACTATTTGTTTCTTAATCTTATCCTTTTCCAAAAGGCCAGAGCCAAGATAGCCCGGAAAGCTGGATCCTGTGCATGATGGTATAGATACTAAAAGTAAGATCTGTGTTAATTCCAGGAAAATGTTTGAAACCACAAACTTAACTGATCCTTCCAGAATTCACAGTGAAGAATGTCCTTAGGCAATTGGCCAAGTTCACAAAAATGTACTAAGGTGCAGGGAATAGGAAGGGGTTAGGGGAGAATGAGCAAGGAGGCAAAGAAGAAGAGAGCTATAGGCAGGGAGAGCCTGAGATGGGAAGGGACAGAAAAATTTTGGGGTTGCCCCAAAAGTCTTTTCCAATCTATTGGGAAGCTTTCATCACATGTTGATGCCTGGACTCAATCTTGAGTGTAGTAGTCCCATAGTGTCTGTATATACTCAATAGGTGACTCCACTGTGCAAACAGGATTGAGCATCACCATGTTAACTGTTGCAGAATACTCAGCAAGTAGGTGGAGGAGAAAATCCCAGGGCACAGATAACCTTCTACTTGGAGGTGAGCTGGACACTGCGATCTTCACTGACCACAACCTCAACCCTCAGAAGGAGTGCTTTTGTCTTAACTTGGCTTTCCCTGTCGGGTGCCAATTAAAACCCAGCAGTTACAAGTAGCATGGTGCAAATGGGCACCATTCCTTGGGCAGACACAAGAGCTGTGGGTAAAGATTACACTCCCTAGGTTTTAAAAATTTCTGGTTACAGGATATTTCTTATTGGTTAGATTTAGAAATCTCAAATACTATAAAATGCCTTATAAAATATTTAATGCAAGTAGGAACTGGCATCTCTCTAAATCTCCTAAGATACATTTTTTAGGTAGGAGGAATGGAGAAATCCATTTTTTTTTTTTTTTTTGAGAAGGGGCTGTGAGAACACGTTTCCATCCACTCGCCCACTCCCCAGATGCCACCAAAGGTTGGGGCAGGGAATTCTGTGCTGGTTTTCTATAATGGTGGCAGAGACCCCAGTTAAAAATTGTACCACCACTACTTCCAAGATGTACAGTATTAGGAAGCTGTGTCAGGATCCTGAGCAAGGCGTCAAGGCCAGGTAGTCTGATACGGGATACATGCTTGACAATGAACATTTTATTAACTAGGACAAATGCCTGCCACAAGCTTAGAAAGCTGAGCTTTCTACTTGTGAATTTGGGTTCATCCCTATTATTTTCATCATATGTGAGTTTGTCTAGCCTAACCTACAGCCTCCTGATAAGCACATAAGCGAAACAGTCTGTGTTTCATTTCCTTCTGTTCATATTCCCACTCGCTGTCATTCATCATGTGGGATACTCTGCCTAGTCCCACTGCCCCCAGCACCATCTTACATGGCAGACCTGGAAAGCTGCTCCCACGCACTTCCACGCACAGAGGAGAGAGCAGCTCATGGTCGCACACTCGACTATTTTGGATATGTGTGGGATCGTGGAGAATCTGTCCTTTTATGATTGGCTTGCTTTATTTAGCACAACGTCCTCAGTATTCACCTCTGTTGTCACACACTACAGAACTTCTTCTTTCCAAACACAGAATAGATTATCAACCCAACTGATTTCTTCTGTGTCTATTCACCTGCTATTGGACGTGTAGGCTTTTTCCACATCTTGGCTATTACGATTACAGCTATACTGAATGTAAGTGATGGTAATATCATTTATAGACACTGATTTCCATGGCTTCGGATAAATGCCAAGAAACAGGATTGCTGAATTATGGGGCTGCTCTGTTTTTACTTCTTGGAACACCACCCATATCATTTCCCATAACCACTCACTCATTTTTCAATCTCTCCGATTTCTGTACATCCCCTCCAACACTTGTTGCCTTTTTTTTTTAAATAATAGACACCCTGAAAAGTATGTGGCAGATTCTGCCTATGATTCTTATTTCACACAATTTTCTACACCAGCAGGCAGACACAGCGCTGTGTACAGTGTCATCGGTGAAAAGATGCCTGCTTATTGTGTTTCTGCTCTTGTTGGTTTGCAAACCAGCAAAATAGTGAAGAACATATTTTTCATGTGTTATGAGGAATTTTTTGTATCTGTAAACATATGAGTTTTTCCAACAAAACAGAGAGGAGTACAATGGGTTCTTTAAAAAGGAAAATAGATTTAGATGTCTTCCTTTATAAAAGGTAGGAAAGAAAAAGTCTGATTCAGTCAAAGAATCTATGGAGCATGCACAGTCACATATAACTAGAAGTATTGATGATTAGCCTAAGAATTAGACCCACTGGATCCACATCAAAGGGAAGGATACATCAGTTCTAATGATGAGTTCTCTTGTCTGCTTTATAGTAGATGAGCTATAGTTATCATGGAACCATCAGGTTTTCCTCTGGGAGACAACTATTCCCAATATACAATTCTAGGGGGTGAATACTGTCCTTACTGTTTGGGCATGTAGTTCAGTTGTAACCAATCAGGACAAGGGTTTGCACTGGACTGCATGCTAAGCTTCTGACTCAGCAACGGTCAAGCCTACTATTACTTCTGTTCAAATGTGGCAAAGCAGATGCAGACACAAAACTATGAGCCCATCCAGCTATACTTGCCAGAAACTACATTGCTGTGGGAAGCTTAAAAAAAATCTAAGAATGGAGCCAATCTGAGATGGAAAGCCCAGGATCCAGCTGCTTATACCTTTGAATCCATTTGTATCTGAGAAGACAAATCTACTCGTAGATTGTTCAAATACCTCAGTTACAAATGCTCTTTGTGGCAAGCAACATTTTCACCTAGCCTCTGTGTATTTTGATAGGCAGAGTAGGAGTGGGAGGAAGAGAGAGAGAGAGAGAGAGAGAGAGAGAGAGAGAGAGAGATCGAGAGAGAGAGAGAGAGAGAGAGAGATCTCCACTCACTGGTTTGCCCCCAAATGGCTGCAGCAGCTATCAAAGGCCCAAGTACTTGAGCCATCTTCTGTGGGCTCATTGGCAGGGAGCTGGATTAGAACTGGAGTAGCCAGGAGTCAAACTGACCCTATGATATGGAACATTAGGTTCACAGGCAGAGATGTAAGCCACTGTGTCTTAATGCTTGTCCCTGCATTTGTGCTCTATAACTGTAATATGTAATGATTTATAAAGAAATTTGAGAATAATTGGTTGACTAATTGGTTGAATCTCTGAATTGATCCTAGGCATATATTTTTCTTGATATGAGAATTTTGTTTTTATGGGATATGATATAAAATCCCTGAGCCAATTAGTTTCACTAATACTACTAGTGGTGCCTATCATATTAAAGAAATTTTATGGCTAGGAATGGTCATTGTTTATATCTCAACCTTATTTTCTGGAATCATATGTAGTGAATGTCCAGAATTGTTGCAGTAAAGAAAAAGTAGAGAGAGAACATGAGCGAGACCAAGAGGGAAAGAGCAGGGAAATAACTACAGCAACCAGTCATTTCTAGTAAGAGCCTTGTAACTGGTGATTTGGAAAGGATAAAGTTACCTGCTTATCATACTCTGCACACTAAGGTGGATTTCAGAATTAAATCAAACTTTTAAATAACATAAAATGGATAAATTGACAAAATGAAAGCATAAGGAAGTTAATAGGAAATCAATATCAGATTCAAGGTAAGAAAGCTATTTTCTCAGAAGGCACAGGTAAGTATGAAGTGACACTCAGTAAGATTCACTTATAATACCCCTAGACTTGACATCATATTATCTTAATATTAGAGCAAACATATGATATCTGACCTTTTGGGATTGGCTCATTTCCCTTAGCATAATGGTTTCACACTTACATATGCCTTCTATAATAAGAACTTGTGATGTAATTCGTTAACCAACGATCCGTAAGAGGCTGACTGTTTATGATCAGCTGAGATGGTCAATGTCTCATCATTGTCATTGGTACTGCCCATAAATAATGAATATCTAATTGTACCTTAATTAGGGCCCTAGGATACACTGTAGGATGCAAGAATGAACTTACAATGAAATGACAGGCTGGAGTCTTAAATTAGTCAAACATTTTTATCTAGGGCCAGCTACATGATAGATAATTGATTTAGGCTTTGGGACACATCAGTGAAAACTGGTAGAATTTTTATCTTTGGGTGCTTACATTCTATCAGGACGGACACAAGTGGCAGATTATCACAAAGCAACACATGTAGGTTCCAGGAGGCAGTGATACTGGAGGAAAAACAGAATAGAAAAACAGAGTTGGGAATGATACAGCTGCAATTTTAAACAAACTTGGTGTCACTAAGAAGGTTGCGTTTGATCACACCTTTATGAAGATATTAACCATGTGAGCACAGGGGATAAAGTATTCCATATAAGATGATCAGTGTACACGAAGGCCTGAAAATGGAGCCTGCCTGAAGGCTCTATGCCTCAGCAAGGAAGTCTATGTGGCTGGTAACAGGAAATGGAGTTGCCAACTCTGACAGGGTGGAATCTATCGTGAGGCTTTGGGTATGGAGAACATATACAGGATAGGAAGCCATGAAGTATTCCCTCCGGAAGACAGTGGTATTGAGATCGAAGCAGGAGAGTGAATACTGTGGGAATTTTTAGATTCTGGGTGTGTTTTGAAAGTAGATCCAACATAATTTCTTCAGTGGTTTGAGTATGGCAACTAAAGCAAAAAAGACTTTCAAAATAGTCAACCCAATGGATTAGGAGGGTAAGAGTTGTCATCAAGTGAAATGGGAGAAGAGTGAATAAAGCATTTTGTGAGAATGAGGGGCTTAGGCACTGAGGATGGACACAGTCATTGTTTGCAAGGGGAGAAACACAGGAGGAAGTTGATTATGAAGATACAGAGTTCAGAGGACACTTGGCCATCGATAACAAATACGTAGAATTGGAAGCTATGGGAAGGGGTGTAGGGAGTAACTCGAATTGCCAAGAGACGTAAAACTATGCGGTCTGGGACATCTCAACATCAGGAGCTTAAGGGGACAAGCAATAATGCAAGGAGGGCTGGTTCGTAAAGTGATCACTAAGGCAGAAAAATGAGGGTGGGGTGGGGAACTGTTTCACGTAACCTTAGGTGAAGAAGTGAAAATTGATCAATAGTCAAGCAATGTGCAGAAATTTTGGCATGGGTGACCAGAAAAGTAGCCACAGAGGAGACTGGACTTTTGGTTTTTATTTTCCTTTTTTAGTGGAATAGAGAGAGACATGTTTACAGCAAACAATTCATGGAAACCTGTCCTTTCCTCTGCAATCAATATTCTCATGGTAGTAGTGGATTGTACAGCTGGGAGGTCACCTCTAATTCGTTGGTCTGTCCTACACACATCTTCTAATTCTTTCATCCCTCAGGAGGCTACATTTGCAATATAAACATTCAAGGTCAGTCTAACCATCAGAAGGAATGCCCTTTATCCTTCCCTACCATCCTACCCAACATACTTGCGAGTATATTCCATAAAACCATTCATCCCCATGCGGAACTCTGTGACTCAAAAATCGTAACACTTACAATTTGAGCCAGAGTGAATCACGATTGAATTCAGGAACCATGATTAAGTTGTGGTAGGAAAGTTTATTTTGCCAGAATGAAAACAGAAATATCTTAGCCATCCTATCCTATTTATTCCTCCAAGAATATTGTAATCCAGGAAACCAAAGCACCTTCTTGGTGCTGTGTTTTCACTAAGATTGTCAAGAACAAACACAAAAACAATCTTAGTGAAACTCTGGGTTGGAGGGTTGCTTACATGTTAAATTTTAGCACTCCAACCCACCTGCAACCTACTCGTTCTTGATCAGTATTAACTGTCTCTCTCTTTGCTTTCCTTCCATCCAGAAACCCAACATCACCATTCTCTTTTCTTCCCTCTCCTTACAAAAACCAGTGCTCAGAAAATATTCTTCAGAAGGAATGACAGTTTACAACTGGCAAGAGTTTTTGCATTAGTTCATATTTACAGTGTTAAATTACACAAAACCCAAGGTCCAAGTCAAACTCCAAAAAGAACTGAAAAAATGCAGAGATTGACTCCATCAACACATTTACACTGAGGTACATCAACTTACACATTCTAGCAGAAGCCATGGCCCTGAGCCAAAGAAGCAGGTTCTGGAAGGTGGAAGCAGGAACAGCAGGCATGGGGAGGGATGCCTACCAGCAGGGGATAGCATTTTGAGTGTTTGACTTTGCTTAAGCAGTTCCCAGATTTGTCCCTGGCTCAGGAATACTTACCCTCAGTGTGGAGAAAAGAGCAAGCAATTTTATCCACTATCCTCCCCATCCGAAACAAACAACACTTGACAATGTGCAGGAACATTTGCGATTGCACACTTCCCAACCCCATCCCCTTATTATCTGATCCCAAATATCAGCGATTTTGAAAATTGGTTTATTCTGAAGACTACGGGGGTGGGGGAGAAGGAAAAGATCTTTCAAAAAAAGACATTACCAAAAGTTGGCTCTGGAGTAGTGTTCCGCGTAGAGCTGTTCGTCAGAAAAGGGAGCCAAGTGGATGTCAGCGAATGTCGGAAACATCTTTCCTAATGAGCAAGAGACAAGAGACCTGGAGTTGGATATATTACCTCCTGATTGAGGGTGTCTTCACCTGCCGAGAGAGGCTGCTGCCATTCCTTATCTCCATTTTTGTTACTATAAAACAAGCTAAACCACAATTTTGCCTATAAGCAAGCATGCAACATTCAACAAAACATGACAAGATATAGAAAAGAATTAAAAGTAACATGAGGACAAAAGTTGGTGGAGTCTTAAGGCAAAGCAATTGGGTTCTTGGAGCTGTTTTTTCAGTGACTGACATTTTACTACTAAGCATAGTATTCAGCCAGTAGAATGTTTGAAGACCACAGTTTCACAGGAGAACATACGGGGAATAAAGAGAAACAATCATAAAATGCATATTTCATTGCTATACCTTTTTTATATTATTTATTAACTGCCACATATCAGAGAAAACATTTGATATTGATCTTTTGGGGTTGGCTTATTATAATTGTTTCAGTTGCATTGATTTTGTTGCAAAGACATGAGTTCACTGAGTATTATTCCATAGTGTAGTAATATGGAATAATATGGAATAATATATACCACACTGACCCAGTCATCTGGTGACAGAGATCTGGGTTAATTTCCTGTCTTAGCTGTTGTGCAATAAACAAGGGGCTGCAGATAATTCTTTCATATGATGATTTAATTTCATTTGGGTATATTTCCAGGAGTGGGATGGTTGAGTCATACGGTAATCTGTTTTCAGGTTTCTGAGGGCTATCATCCAAGTTGATGACATGAACTTACATTTCTCATCAACAGTGGATTTGGGTACCTTTTCCTTCACATACTCATGAGCATTTTTTTGTTTTTGTCTGTTGGCCATTTGAATTTTATCCTGTGAAAAAAACTCACATGCCCTTTGCCCACTTCTTAACCCAAGTGTTTGTTACATGGTTGTTGAGCTTCTTCAGCTCTTTACCAATCCCGGATAGTAATCTTTTAATAGTTGCATAGCATGCAAATATTTCTCTCATTCTCATGAGGGTTTCCTTTGCAGTGCAAAAGCTTCTGAGGTTGATGTAACTTGTTCGTCCACTTTTCTTTTATCCCCTATGTTTCTAGGGTCTCTGCTAGAAGTTTTTCCTATGCCAGTATTCTGTAATTTCCAATGCTTTCCTCTAGTAATTTGATGGGATCAGATAATACTGTTAGAGTCTTAAGAGTTTATTTTTGTATACAGTGTAGGGTAGGGGTCATGTTCCATAATTCTGCATACACAGCTCCAATTTTCTTAGCACTATTTGCTGAACAGATTGTCCTTCCTCTGAAAATTGATTTTATCTTGTTTATCAAGAACTAGTTGGTTGTAGATGTGTGGATTGATTTCTGGGATTTCACTTGAACTTAGCCCACAGGCCTACACTGATCATTTATGGGATTTCTATTATCTTCCATAGTCTACACGTCTATTTTTGTTGCAGCAGCAAGCTGCTTTCATTGTAAGCGTTTTATAGTGTATATGGAATTCTGCTGCTATGACGCCTCCAGCGTTCCCATGTTTCTAAATGGATTTTTAAATTATTATTTTGATAATCTTTACATGGCTGATTAGGGCACAAAGGCTCAAAGGGCTACAGGAAAGTGGGTAACACCATTGTTTTCACATTCTCTCTCTCTTTTTTTCTGTATCTGGCATAAGAGGGAAGATAAAGGAAGAAGCCCCACCCAGCCTCCCACCCATCCCAGGTCCCCAATGTGCTGCATGCTCTGAGGGCACTGCTCAAGTGGTTTTGATAGTTCAACAGTTCTGAATTGCTGCCAATCTTGTGATTCCAAGCACAATGAAATCTCTCCAGAATCCACTGGCTGACATAGTTCACCTTAGAGTCTCTATTTGCCCAGATTTTCACTGCCAACACATGGCTGGGGTAGATGACATATGTTCTGTCCTCCGTCCTCTGTTGTGGTACCAGGTGTCCTCTGCAGGTTCTGATGGACTGGCATATCCTCCATGGGCACCTGGATATGCTGTGCACACCTCTGAGCATCTGAGGTGGCTCAGCTTTGACACATGCACAACATGATCAGACCGTGGAACCTGCACTTCTCTTCATGGTTGGTGTTCTGAGATCAGTTGGAGGGATCCCCAAAGAAGCTTCATCTGAGGTGATCCTAGACCTGATTCTTATGTGTGAATGCCAATACAGAGTTTGGCTAATTGTTGTCCCAATCAGGTTATGCATATGCTGGTGGTTGCAACTGCTGAGTCAGTTTTACATGAACAAATGGGTGTTGCAGTCCAGGCGGATCTTGCCCAACAAACACTCAGCCCTTACACAGTTAGGAGCTGCATCCTAGTTGGAGCAACCTGTAATAACCCACACCAGGCCCGTACCTTGCCTTGGTTCCCATGATTGCCAGTATGTATGGCAGATTGGTCCAGTCTGTCCCATACATCCCATTCAGCTCTTATACATGTCAATGGGCATTGAAGCCTAGTTCACCCCAATCAGTCCCACTATCCAGCTCACACACATACTGGTGGGTGCCATTCTGTCTAGCCATGCCTGCCCCAGTCCTGGTTCTCATGCTCTCTAGTGGGAGTGATAACCCAAGATGCTGGTATCCACTATTTCTCTACTGGGCCCACTCCTACTCCCAGATCTTGCACTCTCCAGGTGGTACTGCAGTTTAACTTGACAGAACTAGCCCCTAGTGCCAGCACCTGCCAGCTGATTCTGTGAGAAAGCCCAACCAACCCTCACTCACTCTGATTTATGCTTGCCCCAGTAGGAAGAGTCAGCCCAGCTTGACTTCTCCCTGATCTAGCTTACATGAGGCCCACATATGTTGTTGTCAGGCTTGGTCTGGTCTACCCCACCCCAACTCACGTTTTCCAGTTGGAGTGGCTGTCGAGCAGGAGAGCCCTCCACATTTCTCCTAACAGCTTTGCCCTGTACCCCTGGTTCTCACGTGTGCTGCTTGGGTGCTGCAGCCCAGCATGTCATGGCCTGCCTTGCCTCGGCATTTGCCTGTGGGTGCTGTAGCCTAGCCCAGCCTGGCCTACCCCCAATTTCAGCTCACACTGGTGGGTGTTACATCCTAGTCCAGCCCAGCCAGCACTCAGTCCCAGCCATAACGTGTATTGGTATGTGTTGTGATGAATCCAGCCTAAACCACACTGTATTCTGGTGCTTGGACTTGCCAGCAGATGATGTGAACTGGTTCAACCTGGTCCGTACCCGATCTGCGCCAAATATATGCCAGTGGGTACCATTCCCTGGCCTTGTCTGAGCTGCTCCCTATTGTGGTTCTTGTGCTCACCTGCAGGAACTGTGTCCTGACAGAGCAGTTTCCCAAACTCCTCCATCAGAACCTCTCCCAATGTCAGATCTCACACTCACCAGTGGGTCCACGGGCCAGCCCTTAGTCTACATCCTGTCCTCGTAGGAACAGTGGCCTTTCTTGACTGACCTTCAGCCCATTCCCAATCTTACTGTTGGATGTTGCAGCCCAGCCAAGGCTGCCCACACTCAGATACCACTCACGCACGGTTCAGCCTGGGGAAGAGACTTAGCCTGTCCTACACCTATCCTGGTCCTCCAGATCACCAGTTGGTGCTAGAGTCTAGTCCAGTTTGGTGCATGCAGTCCCAGTCCAAACTTGTGCAGAGGGACATTGCAGTCATATTTAGACCAGAACACATCTCCCACTCTGGTCCCCACACTCACAAGTGGGAACCTCAATCCAGACAGGGTGTGCCTTTATTTCCCCAACCAGGCCTGTTCCCAGATATAGACTGCTCAAATGGTCACTCCGACCCAGTTTGGCATAGCTCTCACCTTTCTTGATCTTTGCCTTAGATGCTGTAGCCTGGCCTGACCTGGCCTGCCCCATCCCCATTCTTACTAGCGGGTGATGGAACCTAGCCCTGCTTAGTCTATTCCCATCCCTGGCTTATGCAAACCAGCAGGTGTGATAGCCTGTTTGGCATGACCTGTGCTCCTGCCTGATATCTGTTCTTGCTTATGAGCTAAGGTTTGCTCAGCCCTACCTGATCTGTCCCATTCCATAACCAATCCACCTGTTAGCCAACAGTTGGAGCTACTTCGCTCAGCTTGTCTGACCCCCAGGCCTGGACCTTGTGATCATTGAGAATTATGACCAACTAGGGGAGTCTGACCCACTAGGGGAGCTTCCCAAGTTCCCCCACTTGACCCACTCCCAGACCTGGATCTCAGATGCCAGTGGGTGTTAGGCCAGTGCCCGGCATAGTCTGCCCTTCCATCTTTGCCTTATGAGCTGATGAACATTGCAGCTTGGCACACCCTATCCCATACCCTGTTTTAGAATGCACTTGTGGGTGCTGCAGCCTGGACCTGCCCAGACTTTTATCAGTCCCTGTACCTGTGAGTGATGGCAGGTTCCATGGTCACTCCTAGCTCAGCCCATCTCCACCCCAACTCTTGAGCTAACCAACAGGACTTGTATTTCTACAGCGTTTGGCCCCCCCCCCCCCCCCCCCCCGCAAAGAATCTATCCCAGACCTGGTTCTCTTACATTCTGGTTAGTCCATGGCCCTATCTAATGTGACCTGACCCCTGTTCTGTACTAGGATCTAGTCCTGCTAGACAGGCCCCAGCCCTAGCTTTCACATGGACTTGTATGTGGCGGTGAGCATTGTTCGGTGGTAACAAGTCCTACACAGGACTCACCTGTAGGCTGGTGTGTCAGTCTGACCCATACAGATCATCCAGCCAGCCCCTTGCAAACCACCAGGACTCAGTCCCCTCACTGATATTCAAGTAAAGTGACCCTGTCATTGGGAGTCCCTCAGGATTGATTCCTTCCCAACAAGCACAGTGGCCTCATTCATGGACATACCTAGCAGCAATTAAACATCCCCAAGACCACAGAACTTGCCGCCGGGTGGCCAACGGTCTGGGCCTGATGCCAAAGCCAAATAATCACTTTTTGTAAATCAAAAGAAGCACCTCTTCATGGCCAAACGAGTCAATTCATGGCCTATCTAGACCTCCTGATACCAGTATTCATAGATGCTTCTGCAGAGCTATAATGTGTTTCATTATAGAATGCTGTCTTGGATCTGCCAGGACATTCAGTAATACACAGTTTAAACTCACATTCACCAGCTCAAGTTCTGCAGACCCTGCATTCTGAAACAGGGTTTGGATAAGGCACTAAGGACAAGCATAAACATCTAGAAGCAATGGGGGTGAGGGGACAACATCAAGAAAGGTAGAAACTTCTAGGGAGGGGAGCTAGGCTCTTGAGCAGAAGGTAAAGTGAGTATTGTAATAGTTTTATGCAGAAAATTGATGGGAAATAACAGAGGAGACAGCAAGCAGAAGGCAGCCGCCTTTGGGGAGCGACCTGAGGGCAGGGAGAAGTGCGACAGAGAGCTATCGCTTTGCAGTAGAGGCCCTTTTTGTTGTCATTCTGTGTTTCAAACCATATCCTATTTGGGTGGAAAATAAAAATAATTAGAAAAAAAATCAACCACTCTTCCCGCAGGAACACACAGGTTAGAAAACCAATAAAATCGGTGTTCATTTCCACACGGCCACTTGAAGATGCACAACGCAGTATAATTTTTTTTGTCTATTTCAAATGCCCAGATATTATGTCTAAAAATTTCACTTAAGAGGGGGCTCAATGGATGCATGTTAATGATCTGTGCTTACAAATCTCATCACGCCTAAACGTCTGGAAAAATCCAGGGCAGGGGGAAAAATAATCTGAGCATTCTACCTGGGGACATTGGGGAAGAATTCTAAACGCCTTTCTGACTTAACTGTAATCTCCCACAGCTCAACTTGGTCGTCTGGATATAAGAATTCCAGGATGCTCCTTTACTCTTTTTTTTTTTTTAATTTATTTTCATCTCCTTGAAAGGTAGGTGCAAGAAGAACAGAGGTCAAGCTCTTCCATCCACTGGCTCATTTCCCCAATGTTAGCCACAATCAGGGCTGGGGCAGTGGCCACGAGGACCCTGGGGCCTCTCTCTTGAGGTCTCCCAGATGGAGTCCCAAGCACTTTGGGTATAAATCTGCTGCCTTCCAGGGTGTGTGTAGGCAAGAAGCTGGATCAAGTAAGTGGACCAGGCAGGAATTGAACTTACACTCCCACATGGGATGTGGCATCACAATGCTGACTTAATCCACTGAGCCTCAACACTTAGTCCCTCCTGAGCTGTTATGGTAGGACTGCTCATGATTTCCTTGCCATGCAGTCCTCAAAAAGGTTCAGAGGGACTGTGTTTTATGAAGTAACAATGCACACATTTCAGCATTTCTTGCGCCAAAGTAACTTAGATTTGAATTCCATTTTCCATGGACTTTAAAAAAAAAGTCACCTCATTCTTTGTCTGAGCTTATTCATTTATGTTTATGGCAGGTTTTGTTTACACTGTCCATTTCTGAACTCACAGAGTTGCACATGTGCAGGAAATTATACATGATCTTCTGCTTGTGCCCACAGCGTGGACCTTGGTTTGCAGAGGTGGCACCAACTGTTCACTGTTTATCTTCACTGAGTAGCAGGATACGGAGTCACGACATTGGAACTTTAAAGGAAATGGATTTGGAAAAAGGAGCTGAAAATTTTCAAGAGAGAAATAACTTTAAAGATGAACCAGGTACCTTTAACATAAAACTCTAAATTTACTCTCTGGGAAAGAGAGGAAAGTTAGTGAGGGCACAGGGGTCGATGTCCCACAGACCTGGATGGAATGTGTGCTGCCATGCTGCTTTCTCATTACAAGTCTCTGTTTTTCCTTTTTGGAACGGGGGGGTCATCCTAATGGCCTTGGCTAACTCGGGTCTCAAGCTCCTATTGCTGACAATTTAGGCTGGAGAACTTGCTGCAGGTGGCAGTCTATGCAGTGAATAACATTTAAGAGCATCCCTTCCTGCCATCGAAGAGACACATCCAAAAACTTTGCTACATTGCTAGACACCCCCGTGGAAAGGGTGCAGAATGACTGAGAAAAATCAGCACGAACCTCTAAAATAAGGAGAAAAATCAACATCAGATTTTACAAGGATTTCGTTATGATTCAGAGCGTTCGGCATACGTAGTCATTTAGCACACACACACAAAATATTAGAATTATAGCACATGTGTTCCAGGACTCTGAATCAATGCCTGAAACCATAGCCAATCTACTAAGATGTTTCCTGCATGCACATACCCACGCTGAAGTTTAACTTACAGATTAGGCACCGTCAGAGATATAAAAACAACACAGAACAGTCATCGCAATCTACTATAATAAAACCTGTAACACTAAATGAAGGGGTGATTCGCATTCCAGGACACGATGGAACAAGTTAGGCCTAAGAATTGTGTATTTCTGGAAGTTTTCCATTTCTGATTTTTGGACTGAAGCTGGCAATGGGTGACCAAAGACACGGAGTGAAGGGATAGAAAACGGAGACCCATTATGTTGTAGTGTTATGTTGAGCACGCCACTGCTCAGAGAAAAGAGCAGAGGCATATCTGGGCAAGAATACATCCAAAAGAACAGGCTGATTCCCCAAGAGACTCTCAGACTCCAGAAGGCTACCACTTGAAAGAGCTTTCAAGCTGGCGCGAAATAATATATCACAAGGATCAGGAAACCAAAGTCAAGTGCTATCTCAAGTTCATTAAGGAGGAAAACGATAGAACTAGGGCCAACCCACATAACACTGAAGCATCTTCTATAACACAGGGACTGACAATCATGCCGTACATCTGGCTTTGTGTGATTGCAGATGCTTTGTATGATTGCAGAGCCACTAGTTCACCATGGAAGAGTAAACGAGAAAGTCCAAAACTTGAGTAAGGCTTAATTCTCCTTTCTGTACAAGACTGAACGTGAAAAAGAGGATAGCAAACTTTTATGAGGAAAAAAAAATGAGACCATCATCTAAGTCAGGAATTGGGTAACCTACCATCCGATTTTAACCATTTTTTGGAATGAAGATAGCTCTCCAGCATCCTTTCATTGAACAGCATGTATCCCATCGGTTCAGAAATGATCACATCTACTTCCTCGGGAAGTGAGATTTCTTCAATTTTTCCTGACAGAACAATGATCTTGTGTGAGAGCTGGTTATTCCTCACTAGCATCTGAAAAAAAAAAAAAGATAAAGCAAAGTGGGAGCAGTGCTGAAAAAAATATTGTTTTTCAATGTGCAAATATTGTGTGTTTGAAGATTCATGGAAGAAACACGAGCATACCTCCTATCCCGCCATACAGAAGCAATCAGTACAATGTTCTGAGGTTGTAGTTTTCTAGAACTCACACATATTTATTTATGAATTAAAATTTGTGTGCCACCATAAGTTAACTTTTAGCTCCATTTCCATGAACTTTCTGAATTATCCTGTATGCATAATCTGAATATGAGTATATGTTGGTACACACGTCTTTGTGTAGTTTGAACATGCGTATATACAGATGCATATTTTTCATGTATTTTTTCTAAATATGGGTTTATTTATTTGAAAGTCAGAGTTACAGAGAGAGAGAGAGAGAAGGAAAGACAAAGAGATCTTCTTTCTGTTGGTCCACTATCCAAATTGTCCCAAAGCTTAGGACTGGGACAGCTCAAAGCGAGGAGTCCCCAGCTTCATCTGGGTGTTAAACAAACCCAAACTCATAGACTATCTTCTGCTGCTTTTCCCAAGTCATCAGTAGGGATCCGGACTGGACGTGGAGCAGTCAGGACACAAACCAGCTGTATCATCCATTTGTATACAGCCAGTATGAATTTCCTAGTAGACATCTGTATGTATCTCAACTCTTAATGTAACAACACTCCATAATTTGTTTTCCATGCAACTATGTTTGAGTTTTTCTGAATATTGTTTGTGTTTTGACATCCTGGAAAGACCAATCATTTCATGGTCTCCTTGTGTAAAAGAAAAGGCTGCTGGTACTTTAAGGCATTTGAGCTGGAGATTTTGGCTATGTCACATCCTAACTTCCATGAATACTCATGGTCTTAATATCTCAACATTTTATACACGCCTCACCAATATAACTGCAGTAGATGTATACACAGTATTTCAAACATGTACCTTTACTCATTGAACCAATCTCCCTACTCTTGGACACTCAGGTTATTTCAAATTTCTCATTATTATAATAGTAAGTGCACTCATAAGACTGTAACTCAGTGTGGGGAGACACTTGCTACTATTTCCTTCAAAGTTAACATGCCTAAAACATTAGTGGGCTCCTGAATCACATACCCCTCTGCCTGCCAGGAAGGTTGTGACCTTTCTAAATTTCAGTCCCTTTCAACGTTCTATTTCTGGTGTGTGAGATTACACGTATAAATCGGTGTATCAAACTGCCTTTTGTCACAGTCTCAGGGACTTAGAACAGGAGATTGAATGGGGACTTTTTTAGTTTTGCTGGATAGACGGATATGATAAGATATTCACATAACTGTGAGGTAGACACCAACATTGACTATATATAAAGAATAATCCTAGACACGTGAACCTCCCCCAAGCGAGAACTGATGCAACCAGGGTTTAGCATGAGGATCGCATGAGCGATGGGTGATTAGACGTTCGTAGAAAGAATTCTGTACCTCATGAGTGTGCAAACAGAAGAGTATGAGCACCTTGCATCTTGTGTCTTCATGTGTCCCTGACCGGTTTTAAACAGCACAACGTTAACACTCTGAGGATAGGAAATCTAGCTCTTCCTTTCTCTCCTAACTGTGGGACTCACACAGGTCACTTACATCCTCTCTGTTTTAATTCCTCTCCTTCTCTAAATCAGGGCTTAAAACTGGAGGGAATGGAAGACATTTTCCAGTTCTAACATTGTAGGGTTAGAAGAAAGAAAAACTCCCCATCGCATGTTCCAGGAGTCCATGAAGATAATGGTCTTATGATCAAAGAATTTTGGAATTACTTTATAAAATAGATCCCTCTTACCAAATGTGCAGAGTCAATTAGCATATTAATGGCTTTGAGAAATTTCAGCAGTAAAGAAAACTGCTGGCTTGCTTAAATCAAAGACATCCCAACTTATCTGATTGATTTATAGTTTTTTTTCCCCCTCACTGGTTATATAATTATCTTCTACGTATCAATCTTTAGAGAATAATGATAAAGTGTTCTTTGACTCCGATTCCTTGGCAGAGTTTTTTAAATTAACTTTTTAAAAAGTTTTTAGCAGCTTCAATGTAGTTCACTACTACAATTGTAAGCATTTAATGACCTTCCTTTTTTCAAACTCCTCTTCTCCCACATTTTCTCCCTCACTTTTGAGATAACATAATTTTAATTTACACGATAGTCAAGGGCTTCATGCCCCATTAAAGAATTCAACAAACAAAAAGCAAAAAGACCTTGGATTAGTGTAAATATAGGCAAGGACTACAATTATCAAGTGGAAAAAAAGACCGTTTCACTCATACACAGTAAATTTCAAAAAAACAGTCATTGATTTTTTTTAAACCTAAAGTAACACTCTTAAACGTTAGGTTGACGAAGGTATAAAATAAAGTTTGACAAAACTAGATTTGTAGTTGTACTGACACACGAGCTTTCTCATTTTTTTTTCCCCTTTTCACATTTTAGTTCACAGACATAGGGAAGAGCATGCAATATGTGTCTTTCTAGATCTGATTCATTTCATTCAACATGACATCCTTCGGTTGCCTCCATTTTGCGGCAAGTGGTAGCATTTTATTCTTTTTTTTTTTTTTTACAACTGAATACTATTCCAATATATATGTATGCCATATTTTCTTCATTCCATTTATGATGGACACTTTGGTTAAATTCGTATTTTTTCTCCTGTGAACAGCGTTGCTACAAACAGAGTGGTACCTCTCTCTGAGGCACGTGGGTGTGTTTTGCGTATATGCCCAGATGAGGGGTTGGTTGCTGGATTATAGGGCAAATGTATTTGTAGCTTCTGAAGTCGTTTTCACTCTGTTGTCCACAGTGGCTGCACTAACTTACACTCTTACCAGCAATGCACATCTGTGCTCCTTTCTCCACATGCTTGCCAGCAACTGTTCCTCCCTGACTTGCAGATGTTGGCCATTCTGACAGATGATGATGAGATCTTCCTGTGATTCTGATTTGCATTTAACCAACAGTTACTGGTGTTGAACATTTTTTTTTTTTCGTGCACTTGCTGGCCGTTTTTATTTCTTCTTTGGAAACCCTCCATGGAGGTTCTTCGATCCGTTTCTTAACTAGATTGGTTGTTACGTGATTGTTCGGCTTTCAAGTGGTTTACATATTTTGGATATTAAACGTTTTTATAGATAGGTAGTTTGCAAATCTTTTTACCATGCAGGTGGATGTCTCTTCAATGTAATGACAGTTTCCTTCATGGCAGAAGCTGCTGAGTTTGGAAGGATCCTATGGGTTTAGTTTGGCTTGTGTGGCTTGTACTTGGGGATTCTTATCCAAGAAATTATCACCATGTCAACTGTTAAGCACAGCAAAGGAATGCTTTCCCTTATACTTTTCCCCCAGTGTTCTGCAGTTTCAGGTCTTATGTTTCAGCGTTGACCCATCTTGAGCTGATTTTTTTTTTACATGCTAACGGCTTCGGATCTCATTTCATTCTTCTGCATATGTGCATCTGGTTTTACCAGCACCATTTGTTGAAGAGATGATCTGTTCCAGTGTATGTTCCGAACATTTTTATTAAAACCAATTGCCTATGGGCCTGTCTGGTAGCCTGGTGGCTAAAATCCCTTCTTTGAAAGTACCAGGATCCCCTATGGATACTAGTTTGTGTCCTGGCTGCTCCACTTCCCATCCAGCTCTCTATTTGTGGTTTGGGACCCTGCAGTTGCATGGGAGACCTGGAAGAAGCTCCTGTCCCCTGGCTTTGGATTGGATCAGCTCTGGCTGTTGCAGCCACTTGGAAGGTGAATCAGTGGATAGAAGATTGTTCTGTCTCTTCTTCTCTCTGAAGCCTGTCAGTGTATTGTCACTGTGTCAGCTACTCAAAACACACACATACACAAGCATTTTAGGTAGTAACAGTGGAATTTATCCATTTTAGGGATCAGAGTAGCTGGGGGTCTCAACTGAGTTTCTTATGTAGTTAGCAATTTTGCCTTTACTAGGCCATTAGCAGGGAGCGAGACTGGAAGTGGAAAGGCTGGCACCTGAACTGGTACCCATATGGGATGCTGACAGCATAGGCAAAGGCTTTACTTGCTATGCTATGAAACCGCTCCCCAGGCTATACTAAATTGTTTCTTAAAACAGTCGCTAAATGATGTACATTTATTTCCATATTTCAGGAGACTCTTCATAGTGTAAATTGATGGTGTAGCAGTTGACATTCCCAGCAACAGTGCATGAGGGTATCTTTCATATCCACATGTACATGAAAGAGCCATTCCATTCACGGAAGTTTACACCCTCCCCAAAATGCAAGTGGCATATCAGAGTTTTTTTGCACGGTTATGTGTATTGCAGCTCAACTTGCAGTAGCTACAATATGGGATCAACCCAGAAGTTTATCAACTTTAGACTGGATTTTTACCAAATGTGGCACATATATACTACAGAATGCTACTGAGCCATAAAGGAAGATTTCACTCCAAAAAAAGTGAAAAAAATTTTGGAGTGAAATTAAAAAAAAAGTGACATGGATACAACAGAAAACCAGGATGCTTAGTAAAATAAGCCAATCCCCGAAGGATAAATATCGTGCATTTTCTCTTATAGGAAACGGTTAACATGGTTAACATAGACTCTAAAAACTGTAAGAATGCAGGGACTAGCTTATCATCTGATTATTGTTTTCAACTCTTCTCTGGACTTTTTATTTGCTGAATATTATGGATAGTGATGCATTAAGCCCATGATTATGAAGTAAACAAATCGGTTTTTTTTAATTGAAGAAAAAATAAAGAAGGAAAACTTAAAGAAAATAAAGAAGGAAGGAGATAGGGACTAAGGGAAGAAGGATTATCATCTTAGAATGTATTTCTGGAGTATAAGAAATCTATTCTTCTTATATTAGCAAACCTTCACTCACCCAGAAAATAAAATTCAAGACGTTGGTAATTTTTTTCAAGGAAGGAACAAGCATCAAATCTGGGAGCAGATTTTTACATTTATTTTTC